CCGCGGCGTCTGGCCCCGCGGTCCGCGCTGCTGGGGGCGCGGGCGGGGTCGGGGGTTGCCGGGCGGCCGCTGCCCGTGCGCCTCGAGTCCGCGTTCCGGGCCCCGGGCGGCCGGCGAGCATGGAGGAGAAGTACCTGCCGGAGCTGATGGCGGAAAAGGACTCCCTGGACCCCTCCTTCACGCACGCTCTGCGGCTGGTGAACCAAGGTGAGGGCGCGCCCGCCGTTAACTGCCGGCCCTCGGCGGTTTGGGGCCAGGGGACGGAGGGTCGGGGACTGGGTGGAAGTACAGGGAGCTTTGGGGGACGCAACTGTGGGGGCTGACTGGAAGTAGACATCGGGGAGACGGGAGGGTCCCGGGTAGCAATCCGGCGACATTTGGATGGGACCTGGGAGGATGTGGGACACCTGGGGGGAAGACCGAGATGCGCATTTGGGGGACTTGGGAAGGAAGGAGAAGGCTGGGGCATATGGATGAGACTTGAAGGAGACCTTTGGGGACTCAGGGATACCCAGGGGAAACTTCTGGATGGGGGACGGGGAAGATCTGAGGGCTTTGTTGGAGAGGAGATTGAATTATCTCATTGGAGGGGGGACTCAGGGAACTAGGGAGTTTGGTTTGTCTAAGGAACTGGAGAAAGAGCTGGAGAAAAAATGGAAGGACTTGAGGGAATCAGATGCAGAAGAGGTGAAGGGAACAGGTGCTTGAATTGTTCGTGAAGTTTGGGGACCTTGGAAGAGGTTTGGGATCAGACCCCAGCACTCAGAGGAGAAGAACCCAGCGGTCTCAGGGGAAGAGCCCAGTTTTCTCTGCCAGCCTCTGTTTCTCCTATATTCAAACTCCAAGAGCCTCAGCCCTGCAGTCTGCCCTCCTTGGGGGTGGGCGGCTCATGCCAAGCCTCGCCCGCTGGCCCTCGGAAAAGTGAGTGGGAGAGAAAAGACTGGCAAAAAACCCCTTTTCTTGGTTTGCCTGCCCTCTCTTTGGGAAGCACTGGGTGGGTGACCCTCATTGGTGGCTGACTTGAGGTTCAGAACATTGGTGAAGGAGTCTTTGTCATTTTCACATTACTCCAACCAGCTCAGGGTGTGAAAGGTCCTGAGAAGTACTAGACCCTGGGGATAAGAGGGATTTATGGAGACACCCTACCCAGGACATACTCCCCTGGCTTGCTTTTCTCCTCTGGCTTCCTGAATAATCTGCTGAGATGGATGGTAAATTAAGCCTTTCTTCCTGGGAGCAGTCCTCTACTCCTAGATCTGGAATAATGTTTCAGATGAAGATGGGTTTGGGGGCCACTGGCATGTTTTTTCTCTGGGAAATGGCAGAAATATTATCCGGTCGGATCTCTTACCTTTTGCATGAATCACTTTGTGCAGTGACAGTCTGAGGTTCCCTAGATGAATCGTGTCTGCTGCTCTTAATGCTGGCCCTGGCTCTTTTATTGTTGGAAGTGAAAGATGAGGCAGACATATTCTATTTGTATATAGATACCTATATTTTAAAATAGCGACCTCCGATATTTGCCTATTGCAACCAGTTCTTTGGAGTAGGATGTGTGTGTGTGTTGTCGACTGATGGTGGTGGTGGAGAGACTCTTACTGTTCCCAAGAATTTGAGCATATTTGAATTGTTGAGCAGAAATAGGTTTACAGAGCTCCCCCATTTTATTTTAATTACATGCTTATTTTTCTTTCTTTAATAAAATAAGCTTCTGAAAAAGTAATGGGCACGCGTTCCTAAATTAAGGAAAAGGAATTTGAGTTTTATTGCCATGCTCTTCTGAACAGTTCTACAGTTAGGTTTGTACTCTTTGCTCTTCATGATTTACATATATCTTTTGTTGCCTGCTGGGCTGTCATCTCTGTGAAAGAAATTTCTTTGTACATTGTGTGAAATCAGTGGCATTAGAAATATTCTGGACTATGGAATCAAGTGCATTTTTCTTAATAAAGAAGCCGAATCAAAGTTATGTTCTGCTCAATTAAGGAAGCAGTTTAACTAAAAGTGTGGCGAGTTATCTTATTTTAAAAGTCAGAATTATTTTCTGTGCCATGTTGTCATAGTATTGTGTTGCTAACACATTCAAAATTCTTTTGGTTTCTGTGTTTTCACTAGTGTTAATGACTTGTAGTTACTTGAAACATATTTATTGGGGAAATGTTCCCATTTAGTATTTTTTAGATGTTAAACTTGATTACCTTTCCATCAAAAATGAAATACATTTCTCAACATGGGAAGGAAGAAAGAGGTGTTACTCAGATGTTTGTATTACTGTTAATTTAGATGACTTCAGCCTAAAATGATTTTCTCTTAAAGCACAGGCTCATATCCAGAATGCAGAACTTTATCATTTAAAATATTAATTATGCTCTATTATATAATTCCAAAATGACAAGTGCCTTTCCAAAACATAGTGTCTTAAGTCTGAAATTAAGTGATTGTGAGGAAGCTTTGATTTTAAATCCGATAACCATCTTGTTATTTGCTGTATAGGAAAGCTTTTTATTCTTGTTTCTCTATCTTTGTGACTATTTGCCTCTAAGGAAACTATTTTTTCAGAGGTTATTCTGAATCTTGGCGCTGGAATTGGTATTCCTGCACTAAACTGTACAGTGATGATGGGTCAGCATTACAAACCTTTATTTTATTGTAGCGTGACACATAATGGCTATATTGTATGGTTAATACATCCGAAGGCTAACAGTACCTTATGTTTGCACGGTATTTGAAAGTTTCCAAGGCACTAGTTTCATCCTCATACTTGTATCCCTTGAGGCAGATATTGGTGTCTCCATTTTTCAGGGAGGGAGCTGAAGACCCTAGCTGTATAAGCTTATAGGCAGCTGAGATTTATTTGAACTGAAGTCTTAGGTCTCTAAGGCCATTGTTCTTTCTACTTACGCCTTCCCAAAAAGATGGAGTGAAACACTTCTCACATGCTGATTTAAAACCTTGCAAAAATTATAATTAATGTCATTATTTCTGGTTGACTTAAATGTAAGAGAAATAATATGTTTCCTTTAGGAAGACTTATCCTGATTTTTTTTTAAAGTTTCTTTCCCTAGTTGTCTTCTTTGAAGAAGCAGACATTCTGGTAGAGTTATCTTACAGGATTTTAATGGTCAGACCAAGAGGCACTTTTGAATTAAAGCCCTCCTGTGACCAGTATATAAGCTTAATAATCAACACATTACAATAATGAAACAGTTTATAAATGAGGTATAGTCATCTTTTAAAAATTCAGTATTTGTAAACATTGATCAATTTCCTAGCTGAAGTACTTTTTTTCTAATAATCTTTAAGTAAGAACTTGAGCTAGGATGACATCAAGAGGTACACTCCTATCTAGTGTAGGATGGCTTTTATACTTTTTGCAGACTTGTGTTTTGTGGTGGGCATTAGTTACTGATTTTATTTTTATTTTCCCAGGATAACTGGTTCTCTTTCCCTCAGACCCCCAAATATTGAATTTGTTTCTCTAACAAAAGTAGTGGGTCCTGTGTACTTGATGTTAAAACTCAAAAAAAATAGGCTTTAGTGCTCTTCCCTCCGCCCTCCCCCAAACCCCCCACTGGTACCTGTAGGGTGAATTGATATTGCAGTTTCTTGCCAGGGACGTTAATTGGAGATGAAAGTAGTGTTGCATATTTTATATTATATTTGCTAGTAAGGGATGTGCTGACTCTTACTAAAAAACATCTTCAGAAATGTCCTGTGCATTATAATTTAATCCAGCCCTCCGATAGATATTGGTTTGGATGGTTTTCAATCCAAGCCAAGTAACCATTAAATAAGATTATATAACACTATATTTTTAATTATCTGGTATAATGTATGGATTGGTGGCTGGTGCACTGCCAAGTTATATTTAGTTGTTGGTTATAAGAGGAAATGGAACAGAGGATTCAATATTAAGGTGGTCTATTTGTGTCCAGATTGATAAAGTTTTTTGTTGGTATTTCAAAATATTTTTCATAGTATATCAATTTCTCAAATATCAGGCCTCTTAGCATGACTTAGGATATATGTGGGAGATGCAGATGTATTAAGGGAGGATCATTTCTTTACCTTATGTGCATCTCTTTGAAATCCACAAAACCTGATGGTTTAAAATTTCATTTTGGGGGACTCCTTTTGGAAAATATTTCTGATTTTCTTGAATGATGTCAGAGCTGTAAAGTGAGAGAGTAAGAATGAGAGTTGCAGAATTATATTTAGGTGAGGTGCCTTCGTGCTGTAGTGTCTAAGTCTCTGCTTCCTCTAGAAGAGGATATGGTTATTTGGTTTTTAGTTTCTAATTGTTTTTCTTTGGCTTTTCACCTTTTTTGTTTGTTTGTAAAATGAATGGGATGACTCACAGTTTCAGATAAACCATTTCTGAGTTCTGTATAGTGTATTATGAATCAAAGTGATGTAGTGATTGTATGTTACAATGTTTTGGTATTTGGACGTTAGTGATGTGCTTATTGAAAACCTGCTATGCCAGTTATTTGTGCTGGGTCCCAGGGATAAAGAGGAGAGCCACAGTCCCTCCACCCCTGAGAAGCTCTGGGTTAGTTTGAGATTGAGTTTTAAGTTTATTGGATGGTTTAGATTTCCTAAATCAGTGTATGGACATTTTCGAGGCACTTTTCTGTGCCAGGTCATGTTTGTAATCTTAGTACAGGTAACAGCCCAGAGATGGAGAGGTTATTAGCCCAATTTTTCAGTTGTAGAAACCGAGACTCTGACAACTAAAGTGACTTGCTCAAGGTGACATACTAATAAAATGTCAGAGTGAAGGTTCAAGCCTTGTTCTTTTCCATGTCTGTTGTTATTTTCACCATACCATACTGACCCTCAGAGGTATGAACAGTTATTGGTCAAACTGTGATGGCACAATTAGTTAACGACAGAAGGAGAATGTAAACCTGGGCCTTTAGGTAATGTGCAGTTCATTATTTTCTTTAGCCTGTACTAAATTGGAAGATAAACTATGGAACATAAATTTTCATACTTCACCCTTCAGTCTGCTCTAAGATATCTCCTCTGACCACTTCCCTTTCTCCAAAATGGGTTAGATTGCCCATTTTTTGGTCTCTCACAGCACTGGGTGCTTACCTCTTAGGGTGTGATCTTGTTTGGATCTCTTTGTCTCCCCTGGTACACTGTGACCTTCTTGGGAGGCAGGGCCTCATCTTTCATCTGTTTGTATCTTTGGCACCTAG